TAATATAAAACTTATTTTTTTATAACTTTTCAATATTAATAGTCTATCGAAAACAGAAGACGTTATTGTTCATAACATCGTAAAAATAATATTCAAGTTTTGACTTTTTTTCCTTTATAAAACTCCAATAGAGGACACTAGTACCAAATGCTGAAGCTTCACTGATGGTACGAAACGTCTTGGTATAGAATTTGTTTTCAGTTGCTCGAGAGAACCTGAAGCGTTTTCGGAAAAAAAAGATTTTATAGAGACACGTGTCAGCAAAATATTAACTAAATACCTGATTGATAATGTTTGAAGACGGCTTGAATGGGTAATGAGGAGAATCTTTAATATAAGTTTAGCATAACAGCAAATGTACAACGTTTCGACAAGGCTTTGTCATCATCATTTGCTGTTATGTTAAACTTATATTAAAGTTTTTCTTAATTACCCATTCAAGCCGTCTACAAGCATTATTTGTCTCAAAGTTGGTTCCTCGTCATCGAATTTAAATACCTGATTATAATGTCAAAATTTCAAACCAGCTGATCTGGCTGACAAAAACTGAATTCGTGTATATAACACAACGTAACAATTCATTAAACCAATAACAGTACCAGAAATACAAGACACCCTTAAAAAAAAAAGACAAAAAACATGCTCCAGGATAAGACAAAATATAATATATACTTATCAAAAAAAGGTACAAGAAGATTGTACACCCATCTAGCTCTATATTTAATCTATCTCTACAATCAGGTTACATAGCAACTGTATGGAAACTAGTGGATATTTTAACTTTTCGGAAAGAAGGAAAGCTAGCATGTAAATCAGAAAGCAAAAGACCAGTCAGCCTAACCAACTGTATTGGAAAACTACTAGAAAAGATCATTACTCAAGACTTTTGGTCTATCTCGATGTGACATCACAATTACTTGAAACACAAAACAGATTCAGGCAAAAAAAGACTAACTACAGACCATATGGTATGATTTACAGAAACCACAGTAGACAGTTTTAACCGAAACGAATGAGCTGTCACTTGTTTTCTCGATGTTGAGGAAGCATTCGACGTTATATGGCACAACGGACTAAAATATTGAATGCCACAAATGAAACTATCGCGAAATATTATTCACTGATTCCCCAACTTTCTAGACAACAGAATTAATGTGTCGTACACCTTCTCGGAATATTTTACATCCGAGACAGGTGTTTCGCAAGAAAGGGTATTTAGATCTATTCTATTCCTCATGTATGCCAGTAAAATGCCACTGTTTGATCCAAATTCCTGCTTCTGTTACCAGTTTGCTGATGATATGGCTATCGGGAAGAGCTCATACACTCCAACCATAGCAGCGACAAATTTATAACCACGGTTAAATGAAATAGAAAACTACTGCAACAAATGGAGAATCAAAATAAACTCCCCAAAAACACAAATCATATTATTCAAATATCAAACAGCCTCCAAAAGTATACCTCTGCGGAGTTCTTCTCCAGGTAACCACATAAGACAAACGCTAAACTAAACTAAATTGGACTAAGTATATAAATGAAATTAGAAACAAAACACGGCAAAGAGTGAATTATGTACGCGTTTGACTGGCAACAACAGGGGCGCTACAACCGAAAACATACTTAAAATCTGTAACACTTACATACGTTCATTGGTAGAGTATGCCTGTCCAGCATGGTTAAATGTAATCAAATCACACATACAAAATTACAGACAATACAAAATTCAATAATTACTAAAACATACAGTGGCACAGCGGTATGTTTGCGGAATTACAACGCTAGAAACCGGGTTTTGATACCCGGGGTGGGTAGAGCACAGATAGCCCACTGTGCAGCTTTGTGCTTAACTTCAAATATAGAAAAAGCATACAGAGTTCCTAGATATACAAACACAACCTTCTTGCACAATTACGCAAACATCTCCATGTTGTGAGACAGTGTGGGTTAATGTTAAGCAGGAAAATATCCTGGCTCTTATGACAAACGATTTATAGAAGTAAGAAATCAACTCCTTGCTTAAGTCATTGAGTGTGCAATTATACTTCTTGAAGAAAAACATTCATTCTTGATTAGAAATGAACACAGAAAGTTTATTATAAAAGATAAAAAAGAAAAGTTAATATAGTCTATTCTTTAACGTGGTACCTTGTATCTCCAAACTCTTCCAGGTCAGGATGAAATGCTTTTAGGGTAATAAATCAAACGCTTAAGACATTGATTTTGCTGTATGCAAGTTTATTACAGAGAAAGCAATTGTTTAACTTTGTTGATGTCAGTCATAAAAAGTAGAGATATTAAACTATGTTGTAAATAATAGGTAAAATACACAATACCTTGTAAGTAATCTAAATTAAGTTTAGATCTACTAAGACGGAATAACGAGTTTATATGGATACAGATTTCGAACTTTCAAATGTTTTGAGTCCAATTTTTGTTGTTCTGTAAATATTTCGAGACAGATTAAAATACAAGGATTAAAAAATAATTTGAGTATTATTTATTTAATTATATTAAACTAACAACAAGCATAGAATTGAATATCAGCAATTATCCATGAAAAAAAGATATCCCCTTTTTTGTAATACATGATTTTGACCGTCGTTTTTGCATTACTTGGAAATAGAAATAATTGGTTTCCTTCATACTAGTTAATAAACCAAAAAGGATAGCATTTAATCTCATTATTACACGCCAAAGATGTGTAAATTTAATTATATTTCATATGACAAGAAAAATCTGTGATCCAAATTGCAGTTTTTTAATAATTAGTTTTCTCATTTTCTTTGGATTTTCGGAACCACTCGACAAGAACATCCTGCTGGAAACTTAAAAAGTGCTACGACAGGACTATGCCCAGGATCCCAAGGGTGAAATGCAATTAATCGATGTAGACTGAATCTTTGTTGGCAAGTCGACTCGTAAAATGGCGCTATAAACGAACAGGGTTCATTTGGTTTCCTGCAAAACGAAAAAGAAATTATGTACTGTAATTATTTAATTAAGATAATAATAATTTGTATGTCTCATTAGACATGAACTTAGCATAACTAATATTTGTCTCAAAGATACTGTCAATTCACTCACTTAGACAGTATGGTTAAAACATGTTTCGCTAGAATTTTTCTATTTGAATTATAACAAACAAAGAAACTTGATCTTTTTTACGTTATCTTAATTTGATAATAACATCAGCTAATTTACTTACTTGCAGCTTTCTGTTCTAACCATCTGGGGAAAGAATTCACTGTTCACGACAATCATCCACTCTCCAGAAACTGCATCTTGGACCCATCCAGGACGCATGACGTTAGGCACACTTTCACAAGCAAATTTCCCGTGCGCTGCTGGACCATTTCCCAAATGGTTTACGAAGAGTTCTGGATCTCCAATGGTTTGAAGCTCTTCGTAAATTATCTTAAGTTTTGTCTTCATTTCCTCGTCAGTCATCTTATCCATAATGTTTCTGAAATGAAAAGTTTTATCTCAACTACTAACCTTTATGAGTAACTTTTTATGTAATTATGTCAAGCCATTCATATGTTTGGGTAGAATACATAAAAAATCAAGTAGTTCATTTGAAATGTTTAGGATAATGTATTTTTCATAACTTTAAAACACTTGATACGACGAAAAAATTATTTTTTTGTTGTTCCGGGTTAAAGAAGCAAATATTTTTTTTTCTACGTCGAAATTTAACAACGAAACTTTATTTTATATAAACAAATAAATAAATTAAGTAATAGTTCAATTATCTGGCAATTTTTCGTCAAATATTCGTGCGCTCGGTTTATTAAAAATCTACGTAGCATACTACATAAACTTAAAGTTTGTAAAACTAATGATTTTGTTTAAAACTTAATAAAAATGTTAACTCGTGAACGGTACCAAAGTCGGCAGTGCTGAAGATCACAAAACCTGAGCTTCAGGGTGGCTCAGTTTGTGGGCTTATAACGCTAAAAAATTGAGTTTCGATATTCGCAGTGGGCAGAGAGCACATACAGCCCAATGGTCTCTGATAATGTAATATTTAGTACTCGGGAGGTGGTTGGATGAGGTGAAGGAAGTGCAAAACACCTCTTTTTCTCAGATTAGGAAAAAAAAAAACACTCTTAGATTATCATAACATAACATAATGTTTTGGGACAACAAAAGACCTATTGCCCCAACTCGACTGTCCCGTTCTCTGATCTAAACTAAAACAATTAAATGAATAAATAAATAATAAAAAATCTTAAAGTCAGCTTTTATCATTCATATAGTTATCAAGCTTTCTCTTAAACATACTTAAATGTACTGCATCTACAACATCCGAAAGCAGCCCATTCCAAAGGCCAACCACCGTGTTAGAAAAATAAAACTGTCTTAACTGCCCCCCCCCCCCCCACGTGGCACAGCGGTACGTCTGCGGACTTATACTGCTTGAAGCTGGGTTTCGATACCCGTGGTGGGTAGAACACAGATAGCCCATTATGTAACTTTTTGATTCATTACAAACAAGCAAACGACCCTGACGTGTTAACCTGATCAAAACGCGGTCACCTCGGGTAGTAGGTTTTCAGTGTCTACCACAAGACTTTCCTGAAACATCGTTTCCTATAGTTCGATGACGTTTCAGAATTCTGGATACAGTACACTGGGGTTATCCTACTGTTCTCCATTTCTGGAGAGTCGAACAGTTTTGACGCCCTATAACTTGTGGCACGTGACGAGGCATGACTCTTCACCAAGTACAGATAAATTGTCTGAACAAAGCGTTATCTGTTTCGAAAAATATTATACCAAAAACACACGATTTTATGTATGTGTGCTATGACTCAATAACTTTACTCAATAACTGCTCCATGCATGTAGACAATAACATAAATATAGAACAGTATGCGAACATTTTGGTCTAATACTATATATATATATATGTTATGTTTAAACAAGATTAAACCGGAATAGGAGTATTAAGCCTAAAAGGCTTGACCTGAAAACCCTAAAGTTCACGTATAGCTATAAAAACGAGTGAACAGAATCTATCGTCATAAAGGATTTGTTTAGTTGTTTGAAAGGAATAATGGAATTGACTGTCGCCTTTACAATACGCTCACGGTTGAAATGCAGAATGTTTTCATCTCTCTCACGTCTTGAACTTTAGTTCCTTTGTTCAGTAGTTCGGCTCGCTAATCACTAGCCTTCGTCCAAAATTATAGATATAAAAATACTAAACAAAACCAATATAATAACAATATAAGTAAAAATAATGAGAGTACAGTTGTTAACTCACGAAGGATAATCGTCGGTCAAAATGCAAAAATTTTTGCCTGACAACGCACAAGGTGGCATTCCAAAGTCAGGAAGTGGTCGATCAGGTCGAACAACAGTTTGTGGTGGTCCTAATGGGAAAGGCCTCTCAGTTACTTTAGTCACTGGAAGAGGTCTTGAAATTGGGGGACGCGGACGTCTTCTTACAGGCGTAGATGTAGGTCTGGTAAAATGAGATGGTGGTGGACGTTTGATTGGACGTCTTGTCACTAGGGGAGGCCTTATTACAGGAGGACGAGGAGGCCTTGTTATAGGTGTAGGTCTGGTAACAGGAGATGGTGGTGGACGTTTGACTGGACGTCTCGTTACTGGTGGAGGCCGTATTACAGGAGGACGAGGAGGATAACAAGGAGGTGTAGGTCTGGTAACAGGAGATGGTGGTGGACGT